AAGAATGAAATGATTCAGAAAACAAACTCCTTAAGGATAACGTCCATATAAATTACGTTCTCTGATTGTGCTCTGGATACACTTTGCGGATGCTCCTGATTTATACTGGCAGCACGGGGCTGTCTGACTTTCAGGATGGGGCACGTGCTCAGGGGGTACGGTTTGGGTCAAAGAAAGTCTTTTTAGGGGCTAAGGACTGGGACCAGACCCAAGAAAACTGCCTTCTGCTCCTGGTTTCTAGGAGGAATCAGGAAACTGGGAAGAACATGAACTGTCCTGACAGCTGCCAATGAAATGTGTTACAAACCACGACTCGCAAAGCCACTTACCCCCTTTTCTTGCTTAATTAGAAAGTGCAAATTCCCATGCTCGATGTCTCAAAATTACCCCGACTGCAGCAGCTATTTTGCTCTGCTGCTGCTGAAGCCTTACTGGCACATCTAATGCACAACAAAGACTTTAAATTAGGAAACAAACTTGCCCGTTCTTGCAGGAAGCTGAAAACCTCTCTGGTTTTCTCCACTAGCACAAGTAACCTTTGCAGCTCAGCTTTGGGACTAGTTCTCCTGCAAAATATTTTAAAGAATTACAGATGAAGTATGAGAAATAAGGACTCACAAGGCTGATGTGTGAAATTAAAGTTTTCTTGCTGGAAATGGTCCTATGGTGTCACCAGGAAATCCTTCTCCTTGTGCCTGCAAGCGCAGACTGGAGCGGTGGCAGGCTGTGGGCAGGCACTGGTGATGGGAGAGGGCAGAGATGGGCAGGGGGTCTGGCAGGGCAGGGGACAGGGGCTGGGGACAGGGGATGGCTGGATGAGGCTGGGCAGGGGAGAGGGGACAGCTGGGATAGCTCAGGCTGGGGACAGGAGATGGGGAGAGCTGGACCAGGCTGGGCTGGGGAGAGGGGACAGCTGGGATAGCCCAGGTTGGGGACAGGGGATGGGGACAGTGGAACTGAGCTGGGCTGGGGACAGAGACTGGGGGCAGCCAGAGCAGGCACGGCTGAGGACAAGGGACAGCTGGGATAGTCCAGGTTGGGGACAGTGGATGGGGTCAGGGGACAGCTGGGCTAGCTCGGGCTGGAGACAGGGGACAGCTGGGGACAAGGGATGGGGACAGTGGGACTGAGCTGGGCTGGGGACAGGGGATGGGGACAGCTGGAATAGCCCCAGGATGGGGACAGCAGGACTGAGCTGGGCTGGGGACAGTCTGGGGACAGCTGGACCCAGGTTGGAGACAGGGGATGGGGACAGGGGGACAGCTGGGCTAGCTCGGACTGGGGACAAGGGACAGCTGGGATAGCCCAGGTTGGGGACAGGGGATGGGGTCAGGGGACAGCCGGGTTAGCTTGGGCTGGGGACAGGGGACAGCTGGGATAGCTCAGGCTGGGGACAGAGTCTGGGGTCAGCTGGACCAAGCTGAGATGGGGATGGGAGATGGGGACAGATGGAGCAGGCTGGGCTGGGGACAAGGGATGGGGACAGCTGGAATAGCCCCGTGATGGGGACAGCAGGACTGGGCTGGGCTGGGCACAGAGTCTGGGGACAGCTGGACCAGACTGGGCTGGGGACAGGGGCTGGGGACAGCTGGGATAACCCAGGTTGGAGACAGGGGATGGGAACAGCGGGACTGAGCTGGGCTGGGGACAGGAAATGAGGACAGCTGGACCAGGCTGGGCTGGGGACAGGGGACAGCTGGGATAGCCCAGGTTGGGGACAGTGGATGCAGTCAGGGGACAGCCAGGCTAGCTCGGGCTGGGGACAGGGGACAGCTGGGATAACCCAGACTGGGGACAGGGGATGGGGACAGTGGGACTGAGCTGGGCTGGGGACAGTCTGGGGACAGCTGGACCAGACTGGGCTGGTGAAGGGGCTGGGGACAGCTGGGATAACCCAGGTTGGAGACAGGGGATGGGGACAGCTGGACCAGACTGGGCTGGGGACAGGGGCTGGGGACAGCTGGAATAGCCCAGGCTGGGGACAGGGGCTGGGGACAGCTGGAATAGCCCAGGCTGGGGACAGGGGCTGGGGACAGCTGGAATAGCCCAGGCTGGGGACAGGGGCTGGGGACAGCTGGAATAGCCCAGGCTGGGGACAGGGGCTGGGGACAGCTGGAATAGCCCAGGCTGGGGACAGGGGCTGGGGACAGCTGGAATAGCCCAGGCTGGGGACAGGGGCTGGGGACAGCTGGAATAGCCCAGGCTGGGGACAGGGGCTGGGGACAGCTGGAATAGCCCAGGCTGGGGACAGGGGCTGGGGACAGCTGGAATAGCCCAGGCTGGGGACAGGGGCTGGGGACAGCTGGAATAGCCCAGGCTGGGGACAGGGGCTGGGGACAGCTGGAATAGCCCAGGCTGGGGACAGGGGCTGGGGACAGCTGGAATAGCCCAGGCTGGGGACAGGGGCTGGGGACAGCTGGAATAGCCCAGGCTGGGGACAGGGGCTGGGGACAGCTGGAATAGCCCAGGCTGGGGACAGGGGCTGGGGACAGCTGGAATAGCCCAGGCTGGGGACAGGGGCTGGGGACAGCTGGAATAGCCCAGGCTGGGGACAGGGGCTGGGGACAGCTGGAATAGCCCAGGCTGGGGACAGGGGCTGGGGACAGCTGGAATAGCCCAGGCTGGGGACAGGGGCTGGGGACAGCTGGAATAGCCCAGGCTGGGGACAGGGGCTGGGGACAGCTGGAATAGCCCAGGCTGGGGACAGGGGCTGGGGACAGCTGGAATAGCCCAGGCTGGGGACAGGGGCTGGGGACAGCTGGAATAGCCCAGGCTGGGGACAGGGGCTGGGGACAGCTGGAATAGCCCAGGCTGGGGACAGGGGCTGGGGACAGCTGGAATAGCCCAGGCTGGGGACAGGGGCTGGGGACAGCTGGAATAGCCCAGGCTGGGGACAGGGGATGAGGACAGCCAGACCAGGCTGGGCTGAGGACAGGGGATAGGGTCAGGGGACAGCCAGGCCAGCCCGGGCTGGGGACAGGGGGTGGAGGGATCCGGAGCCCGCCAGGCCCGGCGGCTCAGGCTCGGCTCAGGCTCAGCCTAGGCCCCAGGCCCGGCTTAGGCCCCGCCGGGGCGCGCAGGCCCCGGGTGCCTCCGCTGCCC